AAGTTGATAGCGGGGGACAAGTTGGTCGCTTCTAGGGGATCCATTATTGCGTCCGTGCTAACGTTGTTGAATGCCCCGGATATGTCCACGGACACTCCAAGTGCATATTCCTTATTGTTTAGGGCTCGCTCAATGGTGGCTACCAACGAATGTAGTGCCGTCTCCACTGATTTCCCCTTCGTGTAGGCGTGCTGGTTGGTCGACAGTTGTCTCCCTACATCGTTCCTGATGTATAGGTCCAGTACCTTTTCCAGCGTTTTAAGTAGGAATGAGGTGAGGCTTATCGGTCTGTAATCCTTGGGGCTCGTGTGGCTGCACTTTCCTGCTTTGGGCAGGAAGACAATTCGAGAGGTCCTCCATTGGATAGGGATATAGCCCGTGATTAAATAAGCTGTATATATTGCGTAGAGCCATGGGGTGATCATTTCCTTGGTCGCCTGCAGCATGGCTGGGAATATTCCATCTAGGCCTGGTGCTTTTATTCTCGCAAATGAGTCTATAGCCCAGTTGATTCTACTAGAGGATATTAGATCTTTTGGGACATGCTCTGCTCCAGTTGCTAGGTCCTGGTGCTTATTTGCATCGGGTACCTCAGTGCATCCTGGAAAATGCGCATGCATTAGTGCTGTTAGGGCCTCTTCGCTGCCCTCAGTCCACTGTCGTCGTCGCGTTTGATCTGACTCTGTATGGTTGGCTGCTTCGATAGCAGCTTCCGGAGTCTAGCCGTTTCCGGGGCAGCCTCTATATTGGAGCAGAAGTTTCTCCATTCATTTCTTTGCGCCTTGCGTATTTCTTTCTTCTAGTCCCTAAGTAGGACTTTGTATTCCTCATTGATGATGTCATCTTTCGCCTGCGTGGCGATTTTGAAGAATTCTTTGTGTTTATTGCGTCGGAGTGAAAGGTCCTTATTCCACCAGGATGGCCTGGTCTTCTTTCTCGTGTCCGATATAGGGCATGAGGCGTGGTACGCATCCAGCAGTTCCTTGGAGAGGGTCTCTAGGGACTTTTCTATGTCTTCCGCGGATTCTACTATGCCCGGAGAGATCGCGAGCCGTTTCGCGATAGTCTCCTTGAACTTTCCCCAGTTTGTATTCCGGGGGTTCCTGAAGACTGATGGTTTTGGAGAGTGTTCGAATGCGTATTGGAACCGTATGTACTTATGATCTGAGAAGGATGGATCTGCCTTCAGGGTGTGAGCATCCTTATCCCCGGGGTGGCGCTTTTTAAGGTATACGCTACCCATGCCCCACGCCATCTTTCCGTATCTGGGATAAAGGATGTCCTCTGCCTCCTTGTTTATCTGGAGGACTGCACTTTGCCCCCCTCCTTGGGTGTTGGGGCCGCAACGTGCAGAACCTTCCAGTCCGCGGTTGGGATATCCGGGTTATGAAGCTGCAACAGCTTCAGCGTCCGGTCCGCTTGGATTGCGATGGGGAAGAGTACCTTCGATCGGGTCATCCATGCACATTAGGATTTTGATCCCATTTAGCCACCCAACGCCATCGAAGGTGGGCATGGGAGCATCGGGATCATCCTCCATCCGTGCGTACAATGACTCAACGAGCCGCGCATGCACCATCTTCCACTGCGTCTCGGTCATTTTGCCGGCTTCATCGCTTCTGTCAATGAGGGCCACGATCAAGTGTCGTTTGGTCACCTCACTGACTTTTGCGGTTTTTTTGGGCTTTTTCGCCATTTGGGGAAGGCCTGCCTCCTTAGGCCGGCGTCGCCGCTTGCTCCCCGGTGCGTCCATAGAGGCGCTTTCGGTTGAACGTTGCCGTTTGTTGGCAAGCGTCTCCTCCACCTTGTTGGCGAATCCGCCAGTCGATCTCATGTGAGGGAGTTTGGCGAAGTAAAGCCTCCCCTGAGCGATTTTCTTCTCAGCCCAGGTAAGCTTTGCCTTCTCGCCTGGGGATAGGGCGGCTTTTTTCTGGGCAAACGGTGTCTAAAAAGGAAGACAGCGGATTTTCGTCGTCAGAGTACTAGGCTTAAAAAAGAAGAAATCAGAGTTGCACTGAAAAACTATCGCCTAACTATCGCCAAACAAACCGTGGTTAGATTTTAATGCGTTCTAACCGCGGTCCATTTGAGAAAATTCGGAACGGCAAAACCTTATGGGCAGTTAGTTCAACGGACGGTTAATGCGCTTTGACGGTGTGTGGGAAAACCCTTTAACACGTAAAACAGCGGAATCGCTATTTAATTTGCTCGGTAACCAGTGTGACCAACAAAATTAATGAAGAGCCATAAAACGCCATGAAAAGGGTAATACTGAACAGCTGTTTGTTGTTTGTAAACCAATAAAGAATAAAGGTAAATTCAAACGAATTGGATTTTTGTGTTTTCCTGATGTATTTCGCCGCCAAAGAGCTGGAGGGAAAAAATGAACTTTTTTAACTTTTTGTTACTCCGCAGCAACAGCCTCCCAGGCATTGTTAAGGAATATGGCATTAAAATGCTTTTTGTGGGTTAAATCCCATATTATGAGCTTCCCCTTGACCGCACTATTTAATGCCACTTTCTTCTCGCAGGCAGAAAGTTTTACGGTCCTACAATTATTTTATTCCTTTAACTATCCCCCCATTAGGGTTGTAAGAATAAATAAAATGAATTCTTTCAACAGCACAATATCAGCTGTTTACTCTCTTGATCTGGCAACGCCATTCAATTTTTGTAGGTATAATTTTCGTCGTCAGAGTAGTAGCAAAAACGATGAGGCAAAAATTTCTTCTTCCTTTTTCGACACCGTTTTTATTTATATGGGAGTTTGGCCGCTGTATTACGTGTTACAGCGGATTTTCGTCGTCAGAGTACTTGGCTTAAATGCCTAAAACTTTTTTAATTATTACCAAAAAAAAGTCTTTTAATTAATTTTACAGCTCAAGAACCTTGCCACCGAAAACATTATTATTATTATATTATTTTTTCTAATTTTGCGTTGTATATTATAAATTTAAATGTTGAAAACACACACAAAACAGAGTTTCATAACATTTTACCTACACTTATTATGACAGTTACAGTTTTCATTCCCAGCTTTACATTCTCTACATCTACCGATCGCTTCTATGGCAGCTATATGATATAGTTATCTGATTTTCATAAAATGAATACCAAAACTCTGAAATAATAACAAAATATCATATCTCATAGTAGATTGAAAACAACGAAGTTATAATTTTTTCCTATTAATTTCCCGACCGTTCCTATATCAGCTATAAGATATAGGCGTCCGATTTACATAAAATAAAAACAGCCAAGTTATAATTTTTTTTATAAAAATTTTTCGATCATTTGTATGGCAACTATATGATATCGTCGTCCGATCTGACTTGTTCCAACATATTTAGCCGCGAGAGTACATAGAAGACTATATGCAAAGTTTCATTCAGATAGCTTTAAAACTGAGGGAGTAGTTTGCGTAGAAACGGACAGACGGACATGGCTAGATCGACTCGGCTGTTGATGCTGATCAAAATATATATGCATTATAGGGTCGGAAAGGTCTCCTTCATTGCGTTGCAAGTTTCTGACTGAAATTATAATACCCTGCAAGGGTATAATAAAAACCAAGGGTAAATAAAAACCACTTTGAGTTTTGTGCTCTAATGAACTGGCTAATAGGGTCTTCCCACACAACGTTAAAGCACATTCAACATCCGTTGAACAAACGGTCCATAAGGTTTTGCTGTTCCGAATTTTCCAAAATGGACCGCCGTAAGATCAACATTAAAATCTAAACACGGTTTGTTTGGCGATAGTTAGGCGATAGTTTTTCGGTGCAACTCTGATTCTTCTTTTTAATTTGACCATTCACCACGAAAATGTAAACAAACTTGGCGAGGAACAAATGAGAAATGGAATTTAAAACGTGGCGCCAAAGCTACAAGCATGCCCAAAATTGATGTTGGCGTTTTTTCTGTATATTCTTGCCCCACTATGTCCCCAATTGTTACTATTTAATATAAACCGCCTACCTCTACTTTATTTTTAAAGATTTTGGATGCCTATAGACACTTTTCGGGGAATTTGCTATTTGTTAGAGAAAAATCATTAGAAAAACTAAAATTCCTTGTCATTTAATTCATTTAAATTTATTGCGGATAAATTCTGACGCAATCTGTGGTTTTGCTGTTGTACAACAGCCAAAATAGTTGGTAAATGCTCCATTTCAAATTTGCAACTGCCAATTCGTCAGCCTTTGTTTACGTTTTCATAAGCCACAGCTGATCGATCAGCTGTTCGGATGTTAAATGTGCTTTGACGTTGTGTGAGAACACGAGTTTCACATTTGTTAAAAATCCCAAACGTTCCTCACAAATGTGCTGTGTGGAAAGACAGTATAATACACTTTTTAATTAAAATTTTCTTCATTAAACCCGAATTTTTTTATCGGTCCAAATCTAGTATCTAATTTTTTATGTAGATCTATCGATTTTAGTGGCCATGAAGTAGCTAATGCATTAAAGTGACATACAGTCATCTTGCTGTCACTTGTGTAAAACGCTTTTTCGGAACGGCCACAGACGCTGGATGCAGATGCAAGCTCTGAGGAAAAAACCTATAAAGTAATTAAGTTTATACTGTCTTCCCACACAGCGCATCTGTGAGGAACGTTTGGGATTTTTCGCAGATGCGAAACTCGTGTTCCCACAGAGCTGCATCAAAGTGCATCTGCATCCGAACAGCTGATCGATCAGCTGTGGCTCATGAAAACGTAAACAAAGGCGGTCGAATTGGCAGTTGCAAATTTGAAATGGAGCATTTACCAACTATTTGTTGCATTTTCAATCGGAATGGGCTGGAGGACTATCGATAGATCGATAGAGGTAGGATCTTTAGGACCAGGGGGGGCAGGGATTCAAAAGAGCGAACCGGGAATAGGAAACGGGATTAGGTTAAGGGAATTAAGAGAAAGGGTTTTTACCCTTGGCCTCGGCCGTTGCACCGAAAAAAGAACGGTTCCTGGGTGCGAACTCGGGTGACAGGCGAAGCCTATATAGGGAGGGATAGGCAACATGGAAGCCGGCAGTAGCAACGGAAAGTCGAAGTTAAAGCAGCTAATCTCCTGGGCGGCTAGGAATTACCTGAAGAACGTGGGTGAAAGTGCAAAGATTTAAAAAAACGTTTTATTTAATAAACGTGTATTTTCAGCGTGGCAGTGAACCAATCGCTGGCCACGGCGATTTTTTATTCAAAATTTGTGAAATTATACGGAGAATCTTACCCGCCGCCGACGTTCTGGGGAGGATATATTCTGGAGAGGAGTGAGGGAGATTTTCAAACGAGCCTCTAAGCAGCCGTTGACGGAGCCATCTCGCTAGCCAAACGGGAGTCCGGTGAGTCCGTTCCGTGAAGCGCCGTCTGGAACCGGCAGGTTTTTGTACCCATATTTAGGACAGTTGTTTGGCTCTGCCCCTTCTCAAAAAAACGACGTGGCCGTGGCTCCGAAGGGCCTTCTTTCCTCGGGCTTGCGTCGCCATCAGTCGTCACGATTTCTGGCCACTCACGCCACTGAAGCCATTTGCGGGTCGCCGAGTGACTTCTCGTTGCTGCAATAGAATAAAATAATTAGTGTGCTGTTGTTTTTGTTAGGTTAATTTATTTGTCTTACTATAATTGGTTCCGTGTGCTTGTTTCTCCGCGTCTCTTAACTTGGGTCAGGGATTTGTGCAACACGAGTTCTGCAGAATTGAGGAACGGCTTTGAAGAAGTGGATATTCACTGAAGATATACTTACCCATCCCCTTTATTTCTCTTGGAGCTCCAGCAGGGATAATAGGTAGAAAGGAAAAGGGAATCTAGCGTACTTCTCCAGCCAGTTTGTGGCTTTTTCCTTAAGCGGACCGCCGCTTCTTCTCCGCTGCCGCAGTCTTGGCGCGAGCGCATCCCGGGCTAGGGTGACGTTTCGCCGGGAATGAGTCCATTAGGAATTCTATATTACTCTGCCAATGTTAGCCTTAAGTATCTGAAATTTATAAAGTATTAAACGCCATGAACTTTGAGTAAAAAGTATTTACCTGGGGAGATGGGCCGGCCGTCAAGCCGCCTGGATTAGACTCCGGTCCGCCGGAGATGGGTGGTGCCCCTAGACACACCGGAGGCACCACAGGTTGGGCGGGAGCGTCGTGGCGACACCATCTATGCCACCATTCCGCAAAAGTCGTCTATTTTGGTTTGTTTACTTTTGTTTGTTAGAGATGTATTATCTGTTAGTGAGGAGTTTGTGTGAGACGTCCGATTAATCGGTGTTTCGTTGTGCGGACTGCGGGCATAGGTTCCTACCCCCCCTGGGCATCCACTGAGCTAGTCCGGCATTGCCCAGGGAATATGCAGTTCCGTAACATATTTTGGCTGTTGTACAACAGCAAAAGGCACAGATTGCGTCAGAATTTATCCGCAATAAATTTAAATGAATTAAATGACAAGGAATTTTAGTTTTTCTAATGATTTTTCTCTAACAAAGAGCAAATTCAGCGAAAAGTGTCTATAGGTGGTATAGGCATCCAAAATCTTTAAAATAAGGTAGAGGTAGGCGGTTTATATTAAATAGTAACAATTGGGGACATATTGGGGCAAGAATATACCGAAAAAACGCCAACATCTATTTTGGGCATGCTTGTAGCTTTGGCGCCACGTTTTAAATTCCATATCTCATTTGTTTCTCGCCACGTGTGGATACACTTTCGTAGTGATGGTCAAATTTTCAGAGTTGCACAGAAGAACTATCGCCAAACAAACGGTCGTTACATTTAGATGCGCTTTGATGCAGGGCCAATTGAGAAAATTCGGAATGGCAAAACCTTATGGACCGTTTGTTCAACGGATGCCAGATGCGCTTTGACGGTGTGTGGGAAGACCCTATTAATAGCATTATTTATAAAAACATTTTTGGCCTTCATTTAAAGTTATTACTGAATTCTTTTATATTTTTTTTATAAGTATTTTTACCTGGATGTATTGTTTCACCAACAGTTTTGGTGACAATTTTTACTAAATCGAATATATCTTGTTGACCACGGCAATTTTTTTGTTTAATCTGAGGTGTGGTCAGAAATAATTTTTTTTCATAAAATAACTACGTGCCGGAATTATCTCAATAGACCACTGAGTAAACTATACTTTTTTAAAATCTGATATAATGTAAGAAAGGCATTCATTTCGGTCGGACAAAGGTGTTCATTTTACAAATCGCAAAAATCATTTGAAATGGAGAACAGAAGCACCGGATTTGCGATTTAAAAATCGAAATCTGTAAATTCTTACGAAAGCAATAGCCGGAGCAGACCTGATAGTAGTAAAAATTCTCAAAAGACTATCTGCAAGGTTTCCTTCTGATAGTTATTCGATATTTGATATTTTTACATATTCTAAGAACCCTAACATCTGTTAAAAATTCAAACTGTGTGGTAAGACATCAACTTTTGTCTTCACATGAAAAATTTTGCATTTGTGGCTGCCTTTGCATTAAGGGTTGTAGTTTGATGTTTCACAATGCTAAAAAGTCCCAAGTGTTCCACCGTCATGGTGGTGCGCTGGACGGTGAATTGTGCGAAGTGGAGTTCCAGCATCTTTCCTAATCATTCGTTAGTGTAATCGGTTAATTTCATAATCCTTAATAAAAAGTGTTTTGGTCATACTTAAAGCTGGGTCAGAGAAAAAATATGTATACAATCCAAAGGAAATATATACAATATGAGTTTTGCTAAGAAATAAAGCAATAAATATGAATAATTGCGTTGTCGACGCGGAGTACGAATATGTTGTGTTAAAAGTGAGTCTTGTTGAAAGATGCGTATTCTTTGATGTATCTTTGATGTATCTTTCAGATAAATAACGTAGATATTAGTCACTTGCCAAGGTATGAAGCGGTTCAAAAGTTCCTCCAGGCTAAAGAAACTTTAGTTGTTGAATTGAGCAGGCAAAAACAGAATCACAATGCCATAGGTTTAGATATTAAACAAGAATTTTGCTACAAATCTTCAAATGCGTATACGGATAACATTGCAAAAAAAAAAACGAAGCTGATTCTAAAATAATTGGAATTAAACCCGAAGCTTTAGTCTCGGCAAAAACAGCAAATTCATGTGTCTCTCAGCAAGGCAATTCCCTTACACCATTAATAATTCCTGCTGAAACTGAAAATCATCCCCTCAGTTTAACACTAAGGACTTTTAATAGCGAAAAAATAACATCGAAGGAAGTTCAAACACAAACCGTTTTAAACACAGATATTCTAAAAGATCACGATCTGGTTCAAACAATAACTGATCGTTTTATTGAGCAGGAACATCACATATTTGAACAATGTCTGGAGCCGGAAATTGATATTGAGGTGAGATGCTAAAACTGTATATTTTAAAATTTTCATGAAAATCTGTTATTAATTAAATTATAATCTTTTCTTGTATACCAACTATTGTCTTTTAATCCGACAGGAAATAACACTCACTAAAGCTGTTATTAATGATACTAGCGATAATATCGGCATATATATTTGCTCTTCCGGCTATCAACCTTCAAACATCGATACAACAAACAAGGAGAGTCAGATAATATGTAAAGATACCGGAGAAATCTGCGAAGATGTATTCATCAGTGGCATTAAACCGAAGAGTATAGCCCAGAACGATGGACGCCTACGGGAGGGTGATCAGATACTACGCATTAATGGCATTGATGTAAAGAATAAGGAAGAGGCAGAGCTCAAGATATCAGAGAGTAGCACAGCTGTGACGCTTCTCGTTAGTCGAATTCTATACCCAGTAAGCATAAAAAGTATTCATTTTTTTGGCTAGTGTTCTAAAACTTTAATGTACCGAGGTAGTCAGTTATTTCCACCTAACAACTTCTTTTAGTTGTTATTCTTGTTGGCACATTTTCCAAAATTTTTGTTTATCGAGTAGCTTGATCTATGCAGAAGCTCCCCGAAAAAAAAATGCAAAAATTAACGGTTCACAGGAAAATGCTAGATGCTAGCACAAAAAGAATATCAACTAAAAGGAGTTTCCGATGAACTACAATATTATAAAGGTGTTGTCTTTTATAGGAAGACGAGGGCGATGATGAAGACGACATTGAGAGTAATTTTGAATATGCCAATACTACTTTTCTGCCCGATGATTACACCAATGTTGTGGATAAGTTGGATAAAGTCCTTTTGAGTCACGTTCATCAATTTAATGAATTATCTAGTGAAGAAGGTGTTTTAATAACACAACAAAAGCAGAATTCAACAACTCAGCAACAGAATACAACAACAAAATCCAATTCTTCCCTGGAAAAAAAGATAGTCGAACATCATAGCAAAAACCATTTTCTTGATAAAAAAAATATAGATCAAGCAAACAATATTAGAGTTTCGAAAAATGATTACGACGATAGCGAGCACATTTATGAGACAATTCCAGAAGACTCGGAATCGGAACCCTTATACTGTTCACCCTATCAAAGTTCAAACTATATAACTAAAATAGGATCGGCATCACCGGAAGCATTCGAAACTTCAGCAAAGCAACAACAAACTGAACGTGTTGCCCAATGGCTGGGCCTAAAATCACCAAAAACAATTGATCCCTCCCTAGTTGGTAATCGCCCGACACCGCCATCGAAGCCTACTGCCACTTGCAGCCGGGTGTTTACCTTACGAAGCACAACAAGTCGATCCAGCAGCAGTGGCTATGTTCGAAATAATAATATTAATGGAGCAAACAAGTTGATTATTACAAAACAAGATGAAGTCGACAACTCATCAAGTGCCTACAATACAGGAGGTTCGAATAACAGCGCCTCGCCAAAAATCGTTGAAGAGAGCACAACAGTGTCTATAGATAATTCTGGAGTGAATCACCTGGTTGCCACTAGCCCTGTAAGCAGTATGTTACTTTTGCCATTTGGCAAATCTGGACGGATTGGCCTCTGTTCAACCAACTTGCGAACAGCATATGTTAGTGGTGAGTCAAAAGTAAATTTTATTTTTATACCCTTGCAGGGTATTATAATTTCAGTCAGAAGTTTGCAACGCAGTGAAGGAGACGTTTCCGACCCTATAAAGTATATATATTCTTGATCAGCATCAACAGCCGAGTCGATCTAGCCATGTCCGTCTGTCCGTCCGTCTGTCCGTTTCTACGCAAACTAGTCCCTCAGTTTTAAAGGTATCTGAATGAAACTTTGCATATACTCTTCTATATACTCTCACTGCTATATATGTCGAAACGGGCCGGATCGGACGACTATATCATATAGCTGCCATACAAATGTTCGATACATTTTTAGAAAAAAAATTATACCTTAGCTGTTTTTCAATATTATTCCATCATTTTTGAGATATAGCCATTTTATATTATTCCAGAATTTTTTTAGGAACGATCGGGAAATTAATCGAAAAAAATTATAACTTCGTTGTTTTTCATCGTATTTTAATCTAATTTGAGACATGAAGCGATCCGTAGATGTAGAGAAAATGTAAAGCTGGGAATGTATAACTGTAACTGTCAAACTGTAAACATAATAAGTATAGATAAAATGTTATGAAACTCTGTTTAGTGTCTGTTTTCGGCATTATAATTTGTAATATAAATATGAAAACCATGTTTAGTGTCTGTTTTTGGCATTATAATTTATAATATAAATATGAAAACCAATCTGCAAGGGTATACAAACTTCGGCGTGCCGAAGTTAGCTTCCTTTCTTGTTTCTTTTAGTTTTTTCACAATTTCACACAATTGAACGTAATTTCGGTTTGTCACATGAAATAAACCGAGCAGAGAATAATGGCATGCTATGTATCAGAGATGGCGCTGTAGACGAAAAATTATTGTCCCGCTTTTCAGTTGCAACTTTTCCTGAATTTTCTTTGCTATTTACCTCGCGGAGTCCGAGACCTTTGCAAAACCGTGGAAATCGGCTAGTGTGTTCTTAAGTTAGATGATTAAACAGGAAAACCCGACTTATTTTTATATAATAGATATTCGTTAGATTTTTATAAAGTTAAAAACAAATTGATGAAATAAAACAAAATGGATATATCTTAAAGTAATTGAAAATATGCCGAAAACAGCGATGTTATACATTTTTATGGTATTAAAATTTCAGTCAAAAGTTTGCAACGCAGTGAAGTAGACCTTTCCGACCCTATAAAGTATATATTTTTTTTTTAATCAGCATCAGTCAAAAGTTTCCGACCCTATAAAGTATATATATTTTTGATCAGCGTCAACAGCCGATTCGATCTAGCCATGTCCGTCTGTCTGTTCGTTTCTACGCAAACTAGTCCCTCAGTTTTAAAGCAGTGAAGGAGACCACTGCGTTGCAAGGGTATAAAAATTATAACTTCTTTGTTTTTCAACGTATTTTCATCTACTCTGAGATATAAGCTTATTTTATTATTTCATTATATCTGCCGTACAAGCGATTGGTAAATGTAGAGAAAATGTAAAGCTTAGAATGTAAAACTGTAACTGTCAAACTGTAAACATAATAAGTATAGGTAAAATGTTATGAAACTCTGTTTTGTGTGTGTTTTCAGCACTTTATTTATGCTATGTATAAATATAGAGATTTTATATATTTTCTTTTTAATTATTTAGCCAATTGCAATATGCAAGGGTATACAAACTTCGGCGTGTCGAAGTCAGCTTCCTTTCTTGTTATACCCTTGCAGGGTATTATAATTTCAGTCAGAAGTTTACAACGCAGTGAAGGAGACGTTTCCGACCCTATAAAGTATAAATACTCTTGATCAGCATCAACAGCCAAGTCCATCTAGCCATGTCCGTCTGTCCGTCCGTCAGTCCGCCCGTCTGTCCGTCCGTCTGTCCGTTTCTACGCAAACTAGTCCCTCAGTTTTTAGCTATCTGAATAAAACTTTGCATATAGTCTTCTATATACTCTCACTGTTATATATGTCGGAACGGGCCGAATCGGACGACTATATCATATAGCTGCCATACAAATGTTCGATAAATTTGTAGAAAAAAAATTATAACTTTGCTGTTTTTTAAAATTTTTGCATCATTTTTTAGATGTGGCCATTTTATATTATTTCTGAATTTTGTTAAAAATTTTATGAAAATCGGACGACTTATGATATAGAAATAGAAACGGTCGGGAAATAAATAGGAAACAAAATTATAGCTTCGATGTTTTTCAACGTATTTTTATCTACTCTAAGATATAAACTTTTTTTATTCTAGAATTTTGGTATAAATTTCATAAAAATCGGACAACTATATCATATAGCTGCCATAGAAGCGATCGGTAAATATATAGAATATGTAAGCTGGCAATGTAAAACTATAACTGTCAAACTGTAAACATAATAAGTATAGGTAAAATGAAATGAAACTCTGTTTTGTGAGTGTTTTCAGCATTTAAATCTATAAAATAAACATCAAAACCAATCTGCAAGGGTATACAAACTTCGGCGTGCCGAAGTTAAGTTCCTTTCTTGTTTTCTATGGCAGCTATATGATATAGTCGAGCGATTTAAAAAAAAATTAAAACCGAAATTCTGATATAATAAAAGATGACCATATCTCAAAAATGATGCAAATATGTTAAAAAACAGCCAAGTTATAATTTTTTTCTAAAAATTTATCGAACATTTGTATGGCTGACATATATAGCAGTGAGAGTATATAGAAGACTATATGCAAAGTTTCATTCAGATAGCTCTCAAACTGAGGGACTAGTTTGCGTAGAAACGGACAGACGGACATGGCTAGATCGACTCGGCTGTTGATGCTGATCAGGAATATATATACTTTATAGGGTTGGAAAGGTCTCCTGCGTTGCAAACTTCTGATTGAAATTATAATACCCTGCAAGGGTATAATAAGGAAATGGAGGTATTTCTTTGGAAACATACTCAATAGAAAATTCATGGAATATTGCGTCCCAAACTACGTTTGCTCCGTTAAGACGCAGCCTGGTGTAAATAGACTATAAAATATAGTTTATATATTCTTTTTTTGACTTAAGCTTCCTTACATTCTTGATTCCAGAGTGCCAAAGCAAAGTCAGCCAAGAAAATGAGAACATTATTCTTAGAGCAGGAAATGAGGAATCGTCTTATAGCCACTGCCCACAGTTCAACGCCCCAAATTTAAGCCGCTATCACTTCGTAAGTAGTCAACAGGTAAGTGTATCAGTTAATTTAATTATATACATATAAATAAAAATATAATATAGGTCGCTAGCAAATGCCTTGAGTCAACGAATAGCTCAAAACCTAATGACGTACTCTTCAGCAACGATACAAATAATGCCGATGAAATTCCAATGGTTTGGAAGGTGAAACGTCGCCCCGATGGATCGAGATATATCGTGAAAAGGCCAGTACGCAATCGTGCACCTCAAGTCTCCTCATCGATTCGGAAAAACATACGTTATAACGAAGTAACAACAACCGAAGAGGATACAGTATCGGAGGTAAAAATAGGTCGCTATTGGACAAAGGAAGACCGAAAACGACATATTGAAAAAGCTCGAGAACGACGTCAGCAACAACAACAACAGCAGCAGATACAATAGAAATATTTCTTATTACTATAGAAAAAGCATTTTCCAATTTCTAAACTTATATTTTGCTTTAAAAACAATAGCCGGAAAATCAAATATGCACAGATTCCACGCTATATCCAATTTTTGCTTAATACAAAAGTTAATATTTATAATTTGGAACGTACACAAAGTCGTCAATGGTTTTTAGCTTTTATCTATATTAATACAAAAAAAACTCATCAAAGCCACATAATCAAGCTCTTATATTTTGGAAAACATTTTGTCAAATGACTTTCCTTCTTCATAATAATTATATTTTGTTAATTAATTGTTCCTATAATAGTGTTTTAAATCCCACTATTCATGCAATTAGACTTTGTGGATGCGAACGAATATATATATCTACATAAATATGTATATTTAAGGTACAAAAAACCAGTTTGTTGTCTCTTTAAAATGTCAAGAAGAAAATGTTGTATCTCACACAAAAAAATATAAATAAATCCATCAATTAAGAAATTGAAATTAAAATAAGTCCTACGTACTTATAGTAATGTTATATCTGGATGAGGTCGTATGAACATATAAGGATTGTAGTAGTGAATGTCAAAAGGGGGACTTTCAGCCAGAGGCAAAGGATCGCCAATGGAACGTGTGCTTTGCTTTAGTCAGACTCTTGCTAGAAACAGAGATAGAGAAAATAAAGTTGATATTAAGTTATCAAGTCAGCTCCTGGAATCCGTAAGGAGGTTGACACATGTGATGGCCATTTTTCTATCAGTTTTTTTAAATGTTAAGTAGTTATTGAGAAATCGTTTTAACCAGTTGCAAAAACGTGGTTTCGAGAAAAACTCAAAGGAAATAATAATTGTAGGAATAGCCTGCATGTATTTTCTGTGATGAAACTTCGTTACGACATCGAATATCAAAAAATCCTTTTAAACACTCATAGTACACAAGTAAAGAAACCGATTTATTAAAAAAAAAAAATTAATTTTTGAAAAACAACACTAATTATTTGCTTAAAACACTTATAATTTAATTTATTATTTTTGATAATATCCTAGTGAACCTACCTTATATTTATTGCACTAGTCAAAATGGGTATACAAATTTTACTTAATCTAACAATTTGTATTCTTATTACCAAAATATACTTCAGTTTTTATCATTACTTTACTAATTTCATTGAATGGCACTCTACATGTTATAAATCTTATTTTTTTTATTTTTTTAAATTTATGTATTATTATATACTGTCATTTGTTATTACTTTACATATACTTTCATCAAATCTTGAAACCGAGTTCGCTCCATACGGTTTTATAATAGTGTGGCAGATGGAACCATTGACGGATTGCATTTATAAACAAGAAAGGAAGCTAACTTCGGCACGCCGAAGTTTGTATACCCTTGCAGATTGGTTTTGATATTTATATTATAAATTATAATGCTGAAAACACACACATTCATTACATTTTACCAAAATTCTATAATAATATAGAATGGCGAAATCTCAAAAATGATGCAAAAATATTGAAAAGCCAAGTTATAAATTTTTTTCTAAAAACTTATCGAACATTTGTATGGCAGCTATATGATATAGTCATCCGATCCGGCCCGTTCCGACATATATATCAGTGAGAGTATATAGAAGACTATATGCAAAGTTTCATTCAGATAGCTTTGAAACTGAGGGACTAGACGGACGGACGGACAGACGGACATGGCTAGATCGACTCGGCTGTTGATGCTGATCAAGAATAAATATACTTTAAAGGGTCGGAAAGGTCTCCTTCACTGCGTTGCAAACTTCTGATTGAAATTATAATACCCTGCAAGGGTATTAAAATGCAATTGAAGTGTGGAAGTGGAAAATATCCAATAATATCGAAATTAATTTATGAGTATATAGTCTGAAAGAATTTTGCGAACAAATTCGCGATATCAGGCTCATTAGAAGCGGAGGCATTATCGAAGTGAACACATAATGGATATTGAGATTGAGATTTCCGTTTTAAAATTACGAAAGCGTAAAATTTCTTAGGGTTAGCCTGAAACTCAATTTTGCACCGATTTAAGTGGTTACGAACCGCCACGAACTCTGAAGTACTATCAGTGTCAATATTAGAAATCATTTTAGAAACAAGATCAGATTTAACCGCGATGAGAACACCACAGCCAGTCCGCATGGACGATCACGTCTATAGATAGTAAAGTTCCCTGAGCAAATTTCACAATCAGACACAGAGGAGTTGAACCATGTTTCTGTAAAAACAATTACATTACTGAGTTTGCCAAGTAAATTACGAACATTTTGATAATGAAGAACAAAAGAATTCATTAGTTTTTTGGAGGCCTAGTTGAAAGAGTTTGAGGCCGCGAGCACGAGGATTACTTTTGTTTACGAATTCATGAACAATTGCATGCTCAGGCTATCCTGAAGAATCAAGAGCCTTAGAAAATATCACGTCTTTGCTTAAAAATGAACTTTGAGACACTAAACTCGGTACCAGAAACATTGAATTTGTTGCTCAAATGGTTCTGGATTGAGGCGGGTTACACAAATCTGCCAGCTAAGGTCTACGTTGGGCAACTCCAGAATTTGTAGACTGTTGGGGGACATTACTAGTAAAAACCGGCGCTGAAATAGTGACCGCCGGAGGAACCACTGGGTGGGCATCCAACACCAAGAACGCTTCATTGAAGGCAGCAGCTCGCGACGTGGATGCCTGGTCGACGTTGACAAGCTGCTGAACCGAGGGCATGGCGAACTCGCCCAGTCCAGAAATGGGGACCGGTACAGCATTAGCAGCAAAGGCAGCAGCATGCGACGTGGATGCCTGGTCAACGTTGACAGGCGGATGATCCAACAGCCAGTCCAGAAATTGGGACCGATGCAGCCCTTCTTCACCGGAGCCATTATCCAGGCTTGGCACGTGAGCTGAACTGCATAAGGGGGCTTGCAGGATCTGGAACAGATAAAATATTCTCAGAAAGATTGCACCTTTTTATATTTGTGAAGTCACTTATCAGTTTTAGGGATTAGAAATAGTATTCAGCCTTCTGGAAACGATTTGAAAAATCCTTGAAGCCGGCAGCCAACGACTGAAACTCCAGGTGAGTTTTCCTCATGAAAACCCTCATATCGGATTTGATATGCAGGCAGCTCTGGCACGTCCAGTCCAATCCGGGATTATATCGAATGAGGTCGTCAATATGCGGGTCAATTCGCCCCACATCGGCACATCCAGGGTGAGCGATATTGTCGCAGAGCCAACAGTAAATGGTGGCCTGCCGCGAAGAAAATTTTCGGCCGTTTGAGCACTTAGTGATACATCAGGTAGCCATTATTTGGATAAAAATAAAAATTATTTGGATAAAATGTGACGAAATAATTTACAAAATGCTGTGTAAGTATCGCGGCGAACAGACCGATCAAAACGGAAAGCGAAGAACGCATAAATAAAAGCTTTTATCTAAGCGCCGAAAAATAAGAAGTATGTGTTATTGATTTAGGTAGCGGCAACAACAACACTAAGGCGATGCAGCGATAAGCGGTAAACACAATGCACCAGAAAAGAAAGGCAAGGAATAAACCGAAATTGTTTTACGACGATAAAGTCACAGACTTTATTTAAAATGGTCCAGTTGTTTATAAAGAGTACGAAAACACCGACTGTTCACACATGAACACGTATCTACACTTATCTATAGACAAGATGCATATGTTAGGTATTAAATCTCTGCAGCAGTGCACTGCACTTGTCTATGTATAACTACAACCGCCACTTGGGCCTATGAAAATACAAGCAACCCGAAATATAACCTCCTGCGAGCGGTCTGGGTTTGTTAAAGATATGTGCTATCGGGGTGACTGTGTGCCCTTATCGCACTTAAAATATTTCCCACGATCGGGAACTGTCCGATGCGTGGGTCTAAAACTAAGATCCAAAATGTACATTCTCATGTTAGCTATTTAAGCTAGGATTTGAATAAATAAAAAACAGTTTGAAATATCAACTCAAAAAATTAAGACGTGTTCTTATTTGGGCGCTATTCACCGACAATATGCCAAAAATGTGGGCTTTGTTAAATAGAATACACCATGAAAACTTTAAATAAATGTAGAGCGAGGTAAAGCACGTCCAACTCAAAGCTTGGCGAAAGCGTTATATATTATTATGTATATAAATTATAAATTACGTTTACTTAAACGGCATTTGACAGGGAATTGTAAAAAAAAACCCACTAATTCGTCTCTTCGTAGTAAAAAGAGGTATTATTTTCTTTGAAAAGAAACTTTTAAAAACAAAACATTGCTTTATTTTTGTTGATTTAATCAAATAAGAATTTTTTGAATAATGAAAACAAAATTATGTTATTATTTTGCTTTTAAGTTTATTTTTTTAATATTTGATCCATTTTGACTAAAAATAAGCCTATATTTGGGAAATTTCTAATAGACTAATTTTCCTTTCTGGACTATAATCATTTGATTCTTTATGCAGCTGATTAAAATTAAAAGGAAGATACATACATGCAGTGCGTAGTCATAGTGTTCGGGCATTGTCCAGCTTCAGATTTGATTGACTACTTTAGCCAGAACAATATGAAAAAAATGGACACCTGAGTTTATGAATGTACCTATTGTTTAAAGAAAAAATCATGACCATTGGTTATATAGTTTTGTGTAATATTATCTGGATGCCGACCAGTTTACCTATTTTTTGTGTATGATACATACAACGAAGAAGTAAAACTTTGAAGCTCATATCATCCACAAAAAAAAATTTTTTTTTAATACAGATTCGGAATCCCTAAAAAATTATCTGTCGGATATGTATGTTTTAAAACGATCGTCCGTTCCGAAATTTTTATACCCTTGCAGGGTATTATAATTTCAGTCAGAAGTTTGCAACGCAGTGAAGGAGACGTTTCCGAGCCTATAAAGTATATATATTCTTGATCAGCATCAACAGCCGAGTCGATATAGCCATGTCCGTCTGTCCGTCTGTCCGTCTGTCCATCTGTCCGTCTGTCCGTCTGTCTGTTTCTACGCAAACTAGTCCCTCAGTTTTAAAGCTATCTGAATGAAACTTTGCATATAGTCTTCTATATACTCTCACTGCTATATATGTCGGAACGGGCCGGATCGGACGACTATATCATATAGCTGCCATACAAATGTTCGATAAATTTTTCGAAAAAAATTATAACTTTGCTGTTTTTTAACATTTTTGCACCATTTTTTAGATATGGCCATTCTATATTATTTCTGAATTTTGGTAAAAATTTTATGAAAATCGGACGACTATATCTTATAGCTGCCATAGAAACGATCGGGAAATTAATAGGAAACAAATTATAACTTCGTTGTTTTTCAACGTATTTTCATCTACTCTGAGATATAAGCTTATTTTATTATTGTAGAATTTTGGTATAAATTTCATGAAAATCGGACAACTATATCATATAGCGGCCATAGGAGCGATCGGTAGATGTAGAGAAAATGTAAAGGTGTGAATGTAAAACTGTAACTGTCAAACTGTAAACATTATAAGTATAGTTGAAATGTAATGAAATAATATCTGCAAGGGTATACAAACTTCGGCGTGCCGAAGTTAGCTTCCTTTCTTGTTAGTAGTGAGACTAGTCAGAAGAAAGTCTGCAAAGTTAAATTTAGATTGCTTCAAAGCTGAAAGACTAGTTTTCGTAATATTGGACAGACGGACATGGCTAGGTCGACTCGGCTGTTAATGCCAGGCATAGCAGCAGAGACGAGCGCAGTCTGAATTCGGGGAAGTACGCTTTTTCTAAGAAGCGCAGCGCGAGGCATAGCAGCAGAGACGAGCGCAGTCTCTGCTGGCGAGTGAGGTCCGTTGTCGCGCTACCGAAAGTTATAGGAGAGAAAGAGAGGTATATAGATAAACTGAAGTAAGAACGTTGACAGAACATATAAATAGATGGAGAGAAGGGAGTGGAGTTTAGTTTAGTTTGGTAACGATCGGCAACGGAACTCGCTGTGCTACCGCGCGAGGACATTAATATGGACGAAACCATTCCACATCCGACATATACTTACCATAGAGGGACAGAAATATCTCATTCACGGGGTGGAAAACTCTTGACTATACAACAAAAATAAAAACTAAAAGCTGTTAGTTTTCGTTATTGTTTATCTTACCCTTCAATTATTGTGTAACGTGGTTATAATGTTCGATATAATATTAATTTAGTTTATTATTTATATGTATCTATATTTAAGCTTTATTAAAATAGGTACCAATATAAAAACAATTTACATACATTTACATCATACATTTATTTTTAAAACATACGAGTTATATCTCAATTGAAAATATGTGTACAAAAATGCGAACAATTATTTTGGGTGTTGAATAAACGCATTCTTTAAGTATTTCTCCTGTGCCTTGACAGTTTTGTTTCTTTAATGTATTTCAGCACCTTATGAGGATTTTTTCGCCTGACATATAAGTCCATTTTGTATATTACTTAAAATCTACAAAATCATAATTTGTTGATTTTTCATAATAACACGATAATGACGGCTCAATGTTTCTCCATTTATTGGAGTCTCCTGTAGAGCTGTTAGGGCTAAGTGTCGTCGTCACTGTCTGAGGTTGGGGATAGTAGTGCAAAGGACGAAAAGAGTGCAGATGTGATTTAAAAAATACGGGAAAGGCCAAACGCTGTTGGATTTGTAGGCTAGACGATGAAGATGAAAGGTTCTTTGTAGATGCTAAGGGTTTGTGGTAGTACTGCTTTGGATTACAGCATCGTTCCACATGATGATGGTGAACTTTATCCGTTGTTCGGCGCGCAATTATCTTTAAATGTTGACCATTTAAGCCTTTTGATTCCTGAAAAACAAATTTGAGGTTTCTATTGATATTAATGACGTTTTTTATTGTTTGTTATAAACATTAAATACTCTCAGAGGAACTAAAAATATCTGAAGTTCAGATAATCTTCAAAGATTCTTTTCAGTAACAGAATTACAGTTACCATTTGTGTTTCAGTGTCTTAATATGCCTTTCAGTATAATTATTGGAACACATGATTCGACCCCTTGAATTTCTTCTTCTTCAAGTTCTGAAACAGTTAATATCATACACAATAGGACTAGAATAAAATACCACAAGATGTTTTGTAAATTAGGTATTGATTTGCTTTAATTACATACCCCATTTATATTGAATTCATCATCACTGCATAGTTTTTCCTTTGTATCCGCTGGAGAAGTAGGACCTGATATTTGAATACGTTCAGTTTTAAAGATTGAAAGCGAAGATCGACTGGCATTCTCAATAGAGCAAGAACTGGAGATCAGCTCCAATTGATCGTCAGCATCCTCCTCGGTTGTTATGATATCAATATCGACATCTGCCTCAACATCAATATTCGTACTTGTCGTCTGAGAGACACTATTACTTTCACTACTTTCGTGATGTCTTAAGAATTTACTTTCATCCTCTGTTGTTTCAATATCCACAACTTCGTCGTCGTCGTCTTCGTTCTCGTTAGCATTGTTATTATCGTTTACTTTTCTGCAAACACTGTTTCCTAATATCTCTGTAAAATATTGTATGTTTATAAATTAAGGGCAACACGTACAATGTTTTGGCTTACTTTCTTTATCTAAAATTGGCGAAAATGACAAGTCGTGGTTAACTAATCGGTGTGAAGTACTATTATGTGTGAGAACTGTCGTTGTTCTTGTTGCCTGTGAGGAGTTGATATTATCATTACTTTTGTTTAAATCACTGGATCTCGTATATAAAGATGTTGAGACTATGGCTGTAGACGCCACTACGGGCTTAAAAGCCGAACAGCTTAGAATTGATGGAATCTTATAATCAGCGAGACCATTATTTCCTCCTCCTATACCCGTGAGCTTACGATTTTTATGGGTAGTAACATTATCCGAAAATCGCACCGAATTTCCTATAACATTCGCCTCTTGTTTACCCCATGATTTCGGGTAATTCGAGTCGATTTCATAGGTTTCCAAATTTGATTCCGCCATTTTTGAATGCTGTTGTTCGTAATGCTGATGATCCTTATGTTGCCACATATAGTCTACGACAAAATTTCTTGATATTGGCATTACAGAAAGATGATCCCCAGATAGCGAGGCATTGGTATCAAAATTGTAAGGGACACCAACAGCTGCCACCACAGCAGCGGTAGCAGCAACAGTACTATATTTATATTGCTTATCCAGGGTGGGGCACCGTGATTCCTCTTTCGTAGACAAAGTCTTATTTGAGTCTCTTTCTAAGTTGATGGTTGGTGTTGGTGAGATACAGGAGGTTATTCCTCTCAGAACTTCAGAAGAAGGCGATATGTTTTGATTACGATTATTGTTATTATTACTACTACTCCCACTGCCAACCAATCTTTTTCTTGTTCCGCCATTAAACATTGCCTTCACATCTTCCCAAGCGTGTATAATCTTTTCATCATTGGTATTATTTCCATTTAATAATGTCATATGCCGACGCCAAGAATTAAAATTTGCAGCATCTGGTTGGACATATCTATCATTTGTAGTTATCCGATGTGAATGAAATATAAATTTGTTAGGCGAGAAAAACATCCCACAATATGAACATTTTATGCATTTAGCTCGCGAGGAATTGTAACGGGAAGGTAGAAATGAACCGCGACAGCCCCAAGCACACTTGTGCTGAACGCTAAACGCAAAATCTTCAGGCAATCGCGGCGGTGTATTATCTCCTAAAAAGCTCTTACACAAGCGCTCCGCTTCTCGTCGTGTTATCATTCCACAACGACGCGAACTTACTGGCATAGCGCCAGCTCGTCGTAGTATTTCCAATTGTACGGGTGTGCACTGTACACAAGTAATGCCCAAAGCAACCCTGCGATTATGTATCTCGTTATAGCTAAATTGTTTGAGCAAAGTATTCGATATTTGGGCTAGGCACAAACGCTCCTGCCCCTCAATATATAAAGATACAATGGGAATGCCATAAAGAAGAACTGTGCTAACCTGAAAATGAATTAAAAATTGTAATTAATGAAAAGGAAATCTTAAATGATAACATGAGTGCCGCAGAAATTGCCTTAGAGAACCATTATTTTTGTTGCTTATTTTCGGTAATCTAAACGATTTTCTGTTGCAGGCTTATTTAATACCATTTTACGGCACCAACCATAAGTAACACCGGTAAATAGCTATTGAGACCAACCAAAATATTTACGTACATGATTTGACCTTTGTAGGGCCGCCGGACCATTTTCCATTTCAATAACAGGAGGAGCCACAGAAGCAGTCATCATGGGGATACTTTCGGTTAACGATATTTAAATCCTAAAAATGGTTGGTATATAAATATTTATAATGGCTTCAGAATTACACGTATAATAAAACATAGTCACAACAAAGAATTTGGAGACTCGGACCAAATTTGTAAAATATATATATTTTAAAGGGAGTGCCGGACTGGATGAATGTTAGAAAACATCGATATTTAAAATCAACAGCCGAGTCAATCTAGCCATATCCATCTGTCCGTCCGCCTTTCCGCCCGTCTGCCTGTTTCTACGCAAACTAGTCCCTCAGTTTTGAAGCTATCTAAATGAAACTGTGCTGATAGTTTTCTGACTACTCTCACTAGTATATAAGTCGAAAAGGACCGAATCGCACGACGGTAATATATAGCTGATTTATGAAAGATCGGCACGGTTGTTGATGCTGATCAAGAATATATATACTTTATATTATTACATCTAAGCACATTTACTACTAAATTTATTTTACACATAAATTGGTATCAGAAACCTACCTTCGCCTTACTCGGAAACTCCCTTATTCAATTATAGAATGCGTGTGAATAGAATAATTGAAAAGAAGCCTGGTGTCCCTAGAGACCATTTCGTTAGAGATAATAAGGTTAGCAAAAAAGTTATAAAGTACAGATTGTTAAGCTTAATGCCATTGTTATTTGCAGGACGAACGGCAAAAGCGAAACAAATGATTATAGCAACTTTTATAAGGGGGAGAAAAGAACGAGGGTTGAACAAATTACAAACCAGTGAGGTAAATAATGACAAAATTATGTTACTATTTAGAAAAACGAGCCAGATTGTTAACAAATTCTGGCAGATGTATCCTTAGACTTAGTCGCTCGAGAATAACTACGTGCCTCAACGAAGTATTTTTTCTCAGGGTTGCTGGAAAAGCTTTTTGAAAGTTATAAAAACATTGCGATGTCTCTATAACAAATATATACAAAAATGTTATAAGAATATCGAATCAAATTCTTGTTTTAAAGAATACCCTTTAAAAATTAAAACAAGTCTACCTGCAAAGTTTAATTCAAATAGTTCTAAGATACTAGTTTGCGTTGTTACGATGAACCTCATCGGCTCGCCTCTTGATGTTTGTCCGCCTATCTTTGGCGTCCAAACTTTCGTTCTTGTTCATTCCTTATTAAAAGGTAAAAACAATTTATATTCGCTCTTAAATTTAAAAGTTTTTTATGAACACGGATAAAAAACATTTTACATCTTAGAAAAATTAGCCTAAATAAAAAAAAACCTTATAAATATGTTTTTAAAATTTTGCTTAATTGCTAATAAGTCATAATACTATGTGACGGGCATGAAGAATTATCCCTAATTAATTTGAGTGTTTTGAGTGCTAAACACACACACAAGGTGTGCCTCAAACTTTAGCTTCCTCCGTCGCTCGTCTCAAGTTTCAATTGGGAAGTGTACGTATACGCACACTCTTCATACAGTCACCAATATAAACGACGGCCTATTAAAATTGAAAACGATTACGATTACGTTTCTAATAAAAAAAAAAAACAAGGGTTGCTGGCAATGCAATCAAAAGCATATGCCTTTGACAATACAAATAAAGATATATATGTACTTCGGGGTAGATATAAAAAATCCTGACTAAAATGCCCACTGATGAGTTGGCAATAATTCGCTTGAGTGGCTGCCACTGCTACACTGTCAACAGGCAATAATAGGTGTTTCCTGCTATGTATTTGGGGCGGGAAACGTCGTTACAGAGCTTAGCATGTTGCTGCTGTTGGTGTTTCGGCCGGTGATGGCCTTTTGTTTACAAGTACAACATCATACATATTTAATTGGGTTAAATTGCTTGACGATTTAACATTTGGTAATGAAATTTGTGGATAATTGAGTTTACTTTGTATCTACATACATATGTACATATTTATAAACTCTTTCGTTAGTATGGTATGAGAGCTATCGTAGCAATGGAAATATTAAGGACACTAATGCTTTGGGACCGCTGCACTATAAGAAATTTGGGATTTGTTATGGTATTTAGTCATTTTATCAAACTTTTAATATTTGAGTTTTTTTTTTAAACGTCTTAAAAATATATTGCTCTGTAAAGTGTACTACCAGAAATGTTAATTAATAGTGCACTGTTAAGCCTATCCACTGTTAAAGTCGGCAGTTGTAGCCAAAAAGCACCCGCTTGAAAATAACTAATATTTGGTTACTTTAAAAGTGCGAAACTCAAAAGTATAACCAATTTGTATACCCTTGCAGGGTATTACAATTTCAGTCAGAAGAGTGCAACGCAGTGAAGGAGACCTTTCCGACCCTATAAAGTATATATATTCTTGATCAGCATCAACTGCCGAGTCGATCTAGCCATGTCCGTCTGTCCGTTTCTACGCAAACTAGTCCCTCAGTTTTAAAGTTATCTGAATGAAACTTTGCATATAGTCTTATATATACTCTCACTGCTATATTTGTCGGAACGGGCCAGATCGGACGACTATATCATGTAGCTGCCATACAAGTATTCAAAATTCAAATTATAGCTCGCTTTTTTCAACGTTTTTGCATCGTTTTTGAGATACCAAATTATATAATTTCAGATTATCGGTTTTAATTTTATGAAAATCGGACAACTATATCATATAGCTGCCATAGATGCGATCGGTAAATGTAAAGAAAATGTAAAGCTAGGAATGTAAAACTCTAACTGTCAAACTGTCAACATAATAAGTAGGTGTCACTTAAAACAGAGACGGGCACGAGATCTAACGGTTTGGGTAGCAGCTCGGCCAAAAAAAAAAAAAAACAACAAACACAACCCCCAGCGTCTCGACGCGTTGCAGCACACAGAATGTGCAAGCGATCGCGAGCACCGACTGCAATATGCCCTGTTCCTATCTCAGTAGATGGATTGTTATTCATTCGAATACATATGTATGTACATATGTATATGCAACACATTTCACTGCTGCCACTGATTTGAATTGTAAACAAATATGAAATGTATGCTGAAACATTAAGAAATGTATTATAACATATAACATTTTTATTTTTATCATTAACCCAATAGCGAATATGCCCATATTGTTAGGGTACCTAGCGTGAAAAGTAGCAAAAGACCAAATATTCTTGCTGGGCCGAAATGAAACGATCGCACACATGCACCCGTGTACGTGAATGCATGAACACGCATACATGTAAAGGCATGACGTTAACAGCTGACAGCTAACATCCCTGCAGTACCATTCATCAACATTTCATCAACGTTTCATCAATAGCCAAAGCGTTTTGTTGATGATTCATCGATGAATTGCCATACAAATTACTGATGAATTTAACATGGGCATGTCATAGGCTGTCATCAACAGCAATTCATCAACATTTAAGCATCATTTCATCGATGAATTATTGATGAAATACTGATGAAAGGCTGATGAAATGTTGATGAAATACTGATGAATTACTGATGAAATACTGATGAAATGTTGAAATGTTGATGAAATACTGATGAAATGTTGATGAAATGTTGATGAAATACTGATGAAATGTTGATGAAATACTGATGAAATGTTGATGAAATACTGATGAAATGTTGATGAAATACTGATGAAATGTTGATGATTCATCAACAAATCATCAACATTTCATCAGTATTTCATCAACATTTCATCAGTATTTCATCAACATTTCATCAACATTTCATCAACATTTGATTGATGAAATGATGATGATTCATCGATGAATTATTGATGATTTTTTTTTCATATATAAAGTAAAATTCTTGAAATTTTATTGATATTATTTATTCTTACTAATTCTAAACCAACACTAAGACACAAATATAAACAATTAACATTAAATCCATATATTGAAAAGCCTCAAGGTCTGTTTGCTCCTCGGTTTTCCGCTTTTTATTGACGTAGACCAAATTTTTTGCGCAGTAACTTCTCTGGAGGCTCAGTTCTATCCACTTGGGCAATTGCATCTACAAAAAAATAATAATTAATCAAGGGAATACATAATAATAAAATTAAATAGAATTTACCCAAAAGATCCTCGTTTCAATATGTTGGCCATTACTGCAGTCAGAAAAGAAAAAAAAAATATAATATATAATAAATAAAATAATACACATAGGCTTTTATTTAATTATAAACACTTCACTTTACTCACCTATTTATATATTCCAATAAGGCCCGGAACGAATTTATTTAAGAATTTATTTATTAATTAATGAAACACACGACACTTCTGCAGTGCAGAGCACTTCAACTTCTAATGCAAAGGGAATAAGAAGAAGCAAGACGAAACCGAAAACCGCTGCTCCGAAAATATGGAGTCGAACCTTCGAGAATCTATTTTAATTGCGTCATCTACTTTGTTTCGGACTTCAAAAAACGAAGTCCATGCAAATTGTTTTTGTTTTTTTTTTGCATGCACCGACAAGTCGGACTCGAAGGGAGTTCGGGTCTCCGAAGGGAGTTCGGGTTCAAGTAGCAGTCGGCAGAGCGTCGATTCTGTCGGCGTCGCAGTCGGCGCGTTGATGAAATGTTGATGAAAAGGCCTATTGATGAAATGTGGTACTGCAGGGCTACTAAATATCTACATACTTATGTATCTATAAATGTATACATACATATATATGAATGTATGTATACATATATATATATGTATGTCGGAATTGAACGACTATACATATATTACTGCCTTAAGAACAAGGGGAACATTTTCAGAAAATAATTATAACTTTGCCTGTTTTAAAAATATTTTATTTTAGAGACATTGTAATTTTGTTATATGTTAAAATTTCGGTTTTCATTTTGTTTAATCGGACGACTATATTAGATAGCTGCAATCAAGATCTGTATACATGTGTACACTGTACAGAAAAATCTAAACCTGTGAATGTAAAACTGTAAATGTAACAATGTTAATACTTTATTCATATAATAGGTGAGTTAATGAAATTTGAAATTACTTTTTTTTCAGCGTATGTATATGTACATATGCTACAAAATAAAAGAAATATATAAAAGTTGT